TTACAGCATGTTGATAGTCAACTTTCTACAATTCATTTTTCCTTAAAAGATCTTCTCCAGGACTGAGGGTGTAGCTCAGTGGCAGAGCGCTGGCCGAGCATGCACAAGGCCCTGGGTTCAATCTCCAGCACTGAAAAAAATAAAATTCTTTCCAGTCCTGCTGAGAAGTCAGTAGCTGAAGTATCAGGAAATGATTCTTTAAATATCTTTTAAATACCTCTAATTATACACAGCAAACCCACATACCCTTCTCTGACTTCATACCCTGGACTTTGGTTTTTCTCCTGATTTTCAATTCAATGAGGAAAATGTGAAATGGCTTTCAATAGAGATGAAAAAAAGAAAAAGAAAAAAAAAAAACACAAACTGAAAAATGAGTTGTTCTCCCTCCTCAGATTTATGTAAAAATTTAGAATTACAAGAAACATTAAGTATCACCTAGACTGAATCCTTGTTAATAGACGAGGAAACAAAACTAGAGGTCATGAATGTCCTCAGGTCACACAGAAAATCAGTGGCAATCGGACCAGAACATATATTTCCTATTTGTAAGGTACATTAGTGCCCCTTTGTCCAAGGTTTCAATCAAGATTAGAAAATATTAAATGGAAAATTCCAGAAATAAGCAGTTTATAATTTCATTTTTATTATAGTATTAATAGTTGCATTGTAAGCATTTTGTTTTATCATTAGTTGCTATTATGAATCTCTTACTGTGCCTAACATGAATTTATAATAGATATTTATGTATAGGAAAAACATTTTATATAGAGGGTTTTGTATTATCTGTAGTTCAGGAAACCACTGGGGTCTTGGAACATATCTGCCAGGCACAAAATGAGGATTGTATGTTTTCTTTCTCTTAAATCATACTATGATGAAAGATTCAGGTTTCTTGGAAAAGCATATGAAATATAAAATATGCTTTTGGATCTCTCCAAAAGAGATTCTCTTTCCTTGTGTGTAAAGTAGGGATAATAATAGTAGCTCCCTCCTGGATTTGTGGTGAGACTTACATGCAAAATGCTAAACACAGTACCTGGTCATAGTTAATGCCTGGAGTACATTACTGTTTATTTTTACTAGTAAACACATTACTTTTTTTTTTTTTTTTGGTCCTTGGAATTGAACCCAGGGGCACTTAACCACTGAGCCACATCCTTAGCCCTTTTTATTTTGAGACAGAGTTTCATTAAGTTGCTTAGGGCCATGCTAAATTGCTGAGGCTGACTTTGAACTTGCAATCCTGCCTTAGCCTCTCAGTTCCTGGGATTATTAGGCAAGTGCCTGGCCCAAGATATTACATTCTTGATTATGAAAAAACTTGATTATTAAAGAACTTGTTTGTTCAACTTACCTTACTGGATTGATTTTAAACTTTCCAAAGTTATTTCATTTTTTTTCTCCCCATTCAAATCATGCATGAAGACAACCAATGGGAATCTGGCCGATATATACACAGGCGTATGAATTTAGGATCTACATTTTTAGTTGTAGAATCGGGCACAACTTTATTTCTCTGAGCATGTTTCCTCATTTGTCAGATGGGATTAAATCACATCACATTGATTTTCCTTTGTTTAACAGCTGTGGGGCTTCAATGGGTGGTCACATGCAAAATGCCTGCCTGGTGTCTGGACTTCACTCCAACGCCTTGCGCAAATGTCTATGAATATCGACAGGTTGTACAGCCCATATTGAAATGTCGTCAGAAGCACATTTAGAACAAATCATTTCTAGTGCTCTGGCTATGGGGAAAGCTTTCAAAGTTAAATGTAGAAATGTGAACCTGTGCAATCTAATGGGCAATTCTTCGGTACTGTTCTCAGAAGGGATGTTGGTTTTCTGATATAATGTAAGGCTTCTATATAATTTTTGCCTCATTTAAGTACAAGCTGTACTATTTATGTTTAAAAGAAAATGTTTATTAGTTTCCTTTTTATTTAAGTCCATCTTAGGTGGAAACTTATCACAACTTGTACTAGTTCTAGCTTTTTTCTTTTCCTTCTTTATTTTGGCAGTACTGACGATTGAACCCAGGGCACTCTAGCATTAGGCTAAATCCCAAGTCCTTTTTATTTTTTAATTTGAGGCAAGGTCTTGCTAAGTTGCTAAGAGTAGCCTCAAACTTATGATCCTCCTGCCTCACCCTCCTGAGTCTCTGGTACTATAGGCACGCACCATCCTACCTGGCTTCTAGTTTTTCTAATATATATATATATATATATATATATATATATATATATATATACACACACACACACACACACACACACACACACACAACTAGTAAGCTAAAAATAATAATCTATGGTTGGAGGTGTAGCTTAGTGGTAGAGTATGCACTTAGCATGCATATAGCCCTGGGTTAAATTCCCAACACACACATATAGACACATACTTGTGTATTACCTAAATCGTACATGCCAATTTTAAGAATGTCCTTATTTGGATCCCAGGGAACACTACTGACCCAGTCTGTCAGTGCCTGGCTCAGAGGAAGTACTATTTCTACATTTGTTCTAGGAGTGACTGTTTTATCCCTGTTCCAGACACAAATATGTGAATCCACAGGGCCCTTATTATTTTACATGGTTAATATCCTCTAGGATCAGAGATGTAAGCTCTTCTAGTGAATGAATCTCTCCCTTCTATCACTAAGCAGTATGCATATGTGTGTGTGTATAGAAGTGGGGCAGAGGGTGGGGAGTACTGAGTTGAGAGGCCAGAAGTAGCAACTTGCACATAATGTCTAGCTGCAAATTTCTCAGACTATCAAGACTGGCATCATATTATCATGTATCTCAATCATTTCAGTTTCTTGCTTCCAAAACAGTATAGACTGTTTGGAAGGAGTTAGAGGGTATAGGGATGCTTCATATATAATATTCTCAATGATGCCTGAAACTTTGCTATGAACTCCCATTCCTTTGTGCTAAGCATTGTTTGCTCCTCCATAGTTCTGTTTTATTGTGCCAATGGTCACAGATTGATATATTAAGTCACTAGTACTTTTACCATGAATTTATTTGGACTGTACTTTCCTCCAGGGGAAAAAAAAAATTTGGTTCTGAAAAAATTGACAGATGAGGTGAGGGGTCCTTGGATTATAGCTCATGTTTGCCCAGGGCTGGTTAATAGCTAAATGGCCTTAATAGATTTGAATGGCTCAGATAAGAGGACAGCCATTGGAGTAACAGAAGGTTCATCTGAAGGCAAAGGTCATTTGCTTCTTGCAGTGGGAAAGGGTGGAGTAGCAGGTAGAGCCAAGTTCTGCAAGTCAGCTACAGGAGAAGGCTATGCCAGGTTGTGCAGATGGCTGAAGCTGACAGTGGGACCAGGTCTTACAAACATGGTCAGAGCTTAAGCTAAAAGACAGCAAAGGTGGGCATGGACAAGGAGGGAAAAGGACTCAAAAGACTGTGTACTTGGTCCCCCCCAAAGGCTTATAGTGCTACCCATACACTTATTTGTCACTGACCTTGCCAATGAAAAGTTATGATGATCCATGTCCACAAGAGTTGAAAGGCTATATGACAGGAGTCACAACACTAAGCAGCCATCTCTACCTGCTGGCTTATTTCTTACTTGTAACATTAAGGCAGTGCACATTTCACCTGCCATATTTCCTTACACACCCCTGCCATCTCATCACCATCCATCCCCCTTTTTGTTTTTGGAACTGGGGATTAAACCCAGTGATGCTCTACCACTAAGCTACATGCTGCCACTATTTATTTTTTATTTTGAGACAAGGTCTTGCTAAGCTGCCCAGACTGGCCTTTTTCTTGCAATCCTCCTGTCCCAGTCTCCTGATTACACCATAGGCTCCACCCCTGGCTTCTATCTTTCTAAAAACTTTTCTATCTAATCCTATCCACCTAAAAACTTTTCTATCCAATCCTATCCACCACCCCCAATACAGTTGTCTTCTACTCATAAGAATTTGGTCAGAACTGATGAGAGTGCTTGTAAAAATTTTTGCCTAGTTCTCATAAACATAGTATATAAATTCTTCTTCAGTCCTTTACTAGAATGGGTTGAGTGACCATCTTTTGTTTATACTTTTTTTTTTTTTCTTTTTTATAGTAGTGGAGATTGCACCCAGGGTACTCTACCACTAAGCTACACTCACTGTCCTTTTTATTTTGATATAGGGTCTGGCTAAATTGCCCAGGCTGGCCTTGAACTTGTGATCCTCCTGCCTCAGCTTCCTGAGTAGCTGGGATTACAGGCCTGAGTTGCTGTGCCCACCTGTTGCCACTCTTTGCATGAGTGTACTGGTTCTCAGAGATGGGCTATCTTTCTAGCTTGATCAGTTCATGATTTGGTGCTCTTTGGCTGCCTCCCTTTTCTTTCCTTTTTGGAAGATGTTGCCTTCCCTTTCTCTGTGGGAAACCCAGCCCAGGGGGAAGGTCAGAGGAGGAGGCAGGGCACCTTCTGCAAGCAGTTGGTGAATATGAGTCACCAGAAGTCTAATGACCTTTCCATTTGTTATCAGTTTCCATGGTCACAGCTGGGTCTCAGGATGGGAAACAGCCCTCCAGGCATGAGGAATCACAGCCTCACTCTTTTTTTTTTAATTTTTTATTGTTGGTTGTTCAAAACATTACAACCTCTTCTGCCTCCTTGTTGTTTACTGGATAGGCAGATTATATGGGAGACCTTCTGCACACTAGCTTGTGGCCACTTTCCCCTCTTATCTCCCAAGACTTCATGCCAATGCACACAGTGTTTCTTCTGCCTCTCTCAAGCCCCAGTTCATAATGCCCTCCCTTGGAAGCCTTCTCAGAAGGCTCGCTGGTTTGGAGCTGGTCCCTCTTTCTCTTGGGCTCTCAGCACCTTCTCAGATGGCGCTGTCATGAGTGTGTGTGTGTGTCTATCATTCCAACCCTCTTTGCTCCAGACTCATGTTCTTGGGTTGCTGTGAGTCTTGTTTGTCTTCATGTCACCAGCCTGACCCACATCCCAACAGGTGTTCAAAAAATTAACTGAATGAATGAAGAGAAAAGGTCTTTTATTAATTTATTGAGCAAACACCAGCAAAACGATGCGAGGCACTGACTCAGTAAAGAAAGCAACAGTGCTTTTTAATGAACTTTCTTTCAAATCTGTGAACATGCTCGCTGTGAAGTAAATGTTTTTATTCTTTCCACAGAACATATTTTAAACAATGATCACAGTGTTAAGGTTAATAAGATGCTGGACAGATGAGTAGCCAAAGAACGTTACAAAACAACACAATCTCACCAACAATATATCAAATGCAAATTTACTGAGACATCAAGAAAATAGCTGGAAACATCATTACAGTAACTAAGTCTGTAAAACTAGGGGAAAAAGCACTGTATAACAAAAAGGCCTTTCATAAGCTATCAAGGGAGCACACGTTATAGACAAACCAAGTTTCTATTTGAAGTAGCGTGTAGCACCAACACATTGGCAGGACCAGCAGAGGGGCAGTGGTGTTGAACCAAGGCATCTGGGACAGGAAGGGATCTCAGGGGTTGTCTGCTGCCAGCCCCTTGTTTTACAAATGGGAAAATGGAGGCCCAGAGAGATGAACTGCCTTGTCCAAAGTAAGATGATAACAGGATAGGCTAGAAAATGACTGAGGGCTAAAATACAGGCCCCGACTTTAGGTCAGTGCTCTATTTTGATATACTTATATAACTCTGATTTAAGGTATCTTTTCCTATTGATCTATTATCATGAAATAAATAGATCAGTACAATTCATACTATACTCTGGTATTATGTTCATTTCACCAAGAAACACCTGACATGTATGGTTGTTATTTACTTCTTGGGCCTGTATATATCTTAAATAAAAATTCAGAGGAATCAGAGGATACTATCTTAGTTATAAATTGGTTGAAAAGTCAGCATCTGAAGAGAAAATTGGCACTTCTTCCACTATGAAAATTAATCTATGCCTCAAAATTACCGAATTGTTGGTACAAAGTTTTTTTTTTTTTTTTCCTGATAGTTTAAAGATTAGTAAAATAGACACATAGTCCAAACATGGAGCCTGCAAAAAGCAGGCCTTTCCTTTAAAAAGTAAGGTACTTTTCACTTTAATAAGGTAAGGAATTTAAAAACCTGAAATTTTTCTTAGAAAAGGAAAAAAGTATTTAGTCACAACCCATAAATTGTGAACCACCTCATATAGAAAGTATTTCTCTATTAAAAAAAAAAAAAGTGTTTTTGTAAAATACTTTGGAATCTTATGTTTGGCCTAGCCTATCTTGCCATGGTGATGAGACCTCAACTGGACAGATTTATGATGAACTAATGAAAATATAGGAATGAAAAAGGAACAAGATCACTGTTAACAGAAGCAGCATTACAGACAAAGTATATTGAGAGTATTTAAATAGTTCAATGGGAATGAAGCCAAGAAGCTGCCTGTATATATTTAAGTGTGTCATTACAGTGGTAGCAGAAAAAAATAACACACATTGGCATCTACCATTATCACAAACCAACTGCTGGAGACGGTTTAACTGTGGCTTCACAAGTAGAACAGACCAGATAAATAAAAGTGACTTCTGCATATCATATATATGTATACATATATTATATTTTCCTCACATAGTATCTAGTTATAAGTAAATCAACATGTGGTTACAATTTCCCCCCTCTTGTGTCAGCATCAAAGGACAATTTGATTCCATTTTTTTTATGAACATGCCCTACACCTGGTTAGGAAATTACATGACATTTATACTCATAGCCTTTATTCCATCTGACCAGTAAAAATAAAATGAAATCTCCTGGGACCTCAAGCCCATTTCTTACCATAACAAACAAATTAACAAATATATAGCAAAACATGCTTGTTTACCGTTAGGCAAAAGACTGTTTTAATGCTAAAGAATAAACTATGCTGGCTGCTAATAATGTGCACAAAATGGTATAATAAGAGTGATTTCATGAAAAGATTCTGTAGTAAGCTGTGTTATAAATATTTAAAGAAACATGTTAAAAATTAGAGTGAAAATAAACTCAGTGTTCTGAAACTATCCGTAGAAAAATATACTTATTAAAAAAAAGAATGTCTCATTAAGTGAAGCATAAAATGTGAAGTTGTTGTCTTAGTGTACATTTCCAATTTCACCTTTTGAAAGGCAAAAGCTTTCTCTCCTATGCAGGTGCCTGTAATTTACTTGGGACTGAGTATTTCACAGAACCAAGCAGTAGGTGACAAAAGGTTGAGGGCAGTGCCGTGACTTTCACAGGGTCAATTCACAGTGCTGAGTCGACGGGTGAGTGGGAGGAACACTGACTACGTTCAAGCCATTTAAAAACAGGACTGTATTTGCTCACCACCAATGAGCATGATGTTCAAGCCCAGAGCATTGGATTTTAAAAGGTTTTGCTTTTCAGGGCAGATTGTACATAAGTAAGGAAACCATCGCAAATAATTTTTTCTCAGGGTTGAATCCTCTGTGATTAAGTTTTTAACCCTTCATTAGTAGTTCTTTTTAATGAGCTGAAAGTGGACTAAAGTGTCATATCCTCAGTATGGTTTGGCCCCTAATTAAAAAGGAGCCTTCCTTCCTCTCTGATAAAGTCACGATGCCCCTTTGGCCAGAAGAGATGCATGCCTTTGGCTTCCCCATGGACATCTTGAGGACATAAGTCCTATCTTCTCAGAGGAAGGCTGAGAAACTCCATGTCCAGCAGCTGGGACCCTATGGTCCAAGGAGTGTACTGCTGAGTCCAAGCCCCTCCTGGGAAGCTTGCAGTTCCCCTTGGAGGGTCTGTGGACAGGCAGGGTTGAAACTGCAGACATCTGGGGAGAGCATATGAGTCCTGACACCTTAATGTTTTAAGTCTATTTCTTTCCCACCAAGTCTCATCTTCCTGGGTCTGGGGAGGGGAATGTCACCTCTGAAAATACTCTAGCAGCAGAGGGAGAATACAGGGGAGGCTAATGGAGAAGAGGGGGACAAATTGCAAAGCTGGCCTGAGAAGAGCAGTTGGTTTTTACATGTTTCTGCTCCCCTTGGTCAGGCTCACTGTTCACTGTCTTATTTTAATCACCAGGGCAGAAATTTCAGCGGTGTCTTCCCTAGGAAAGCACAGCTGCTACAGTCCTCCTCCAAGGGTCCCCTCCCCTTTTCCAGACTCAAGATGGCCGAAGCCCAAAAGGGTCCCTATGAATTAATACCTTATCAAAGAGCTTTCAGTTCAGTTTCAGTTTTTAATTGGCATGGTTCATCATCACCTAAGAGGTCCAGCAAGTTTCAAGAGAGGAGAGATGACATATCACCTGATCACAATGAATACAATCTTTAGGATGCTTTTTCTTTATTTTTTGCACAATAACTATATGAAAAGAATTTTTATTCTACCTACACAGCTCAAGATAAATACAACTTCTGGAGTTGAGGAACTGCTGTTACATGGAGAGGGGAGCTTTGATGAGGAAATAAGCTTTGATATGTGTACATGCGAAGACATACATATACAAAATACACCCCTTTCCCTTGTACACTATACAGGTTGGCACAAACCTTATTAAGAGCAGAATATGATATAAAGGTTTCAGGACTGAAGTTATTCTTGGCATTTTAATTTGACAGGTGCTTAGGCATTTTAAGTCTTAACATATCTGAATCAACTGAATACATGAAATATATAATTGTGTTTTTAAGAAGGCTCAGGCCAACTCTCCTTAAACAATAACCCAAAGTAATACCATAGTTATCAAATGGAAAACAAAGATTGTTATTCTGTATTAAATCAGTAAAGGGTATTTTAAAGAAAGGGCAACTTGGAAAATAAAGACTTTAGAGTCCATTATTCCAAGAGAAGAGCATTTTAGTTATTAGCAGTGGTTACCAAATAAGCTGGAGGCAAATCTCTTCAAGGAGCCGCTCAGGATTTGCTTTGTTGGGAAGAGGTGAGGAACGGTTCCATTCTTCCACTATAAGATGATGCAGGTTTTCTTATCCTTGAAAGGGTTTTCTGAAGTCGGTATGCCTGTCAGCAAAGGGTCACTCCTGGCGTGCTCCTCACAGTAGGACATGAGGTCTGCAGAGGCCTTTGAGACCTGAGGAGACAAACCAAAGCAACAAATAAGGACGAAAATCCTTTATTCAGAACCCTCCAGAGTGTACTGAACGCTAAGCCATGGGGTGGAGACTGATTCAAACAGGATAAGCAGCCTTAGACATCATTCTCATACAACTAGTCAGGTGCAAAGGGATATGGTTCCTGGCAGGGATGGTTTTCCCTAGCCAAGTGATCAGACAAGCTGGCATGGTTGTCCCTACACGTGAGCACTGAGAATACCACACCAGCTAGCTAGCTGGTATTCCTGCCAAAATACTTAATGAGAGTCTGATCAGCAAAGGAGCATAACCCAAGTAGGGGTGATTTTGAAAAATGAGTGGACTGGGTTCTTAAAAAATGGACCATGTGTTAGATATTATTATTAGAAATGCAAATAAGTTTCAACTGGCTTACAGAAAAAATTATATGTGTGTATAGGGGGAATGATATAAGCAAACAGGGTGAAATGTTAAGAATTGGCAAATTCTGGTGAAGAGAATATGAATGTTTAGTGTTACAAGTCTTCTTTAGGTTTGAAATTTTCAGAATCAAAATTGCAGGATGCATCAGGAAAGGAAAAGTTTGTGAATCAAGGGAAGGTTCTATCAGTTCTTATCCAGGTAAAAACAGATTGGAAGCAGAACAGAACTGAATTATTGGCTTGAAGCCAGAACTCTGAAGCCAAGTTGTAGAGCTTCAATATTTACTGTTAGAGGGCTGGGGATGTTGCTCAGTGGTGAGTGCTGGCTTAGTATGTGTGAGGCCCTAGGTTCTGTCCCTCGAATGGGGGCAGGCAGAATAAAAGGAAAGATTTATTGTTATCTATTAGGTTTGGGGAGATACAAAGGGCAAAACCAGCATAGGAAAATGCTGTGCCCTACTCCAGCTTGAGTTAGGCTTGGAATATGTCATACCCTGTTTTCAGAAACCTGGGTGGAAGACCCAGGTAATAATCAGGTCAGGCACCCAGGCCACTGAGTGTGGCGGAGCTGGCTCTACGGAGCTCTGCACTCGGCAGCCTGCTGCTTTGAGGACAGGTGACCATCTCCAGTTCAGAGGAATTTATCAGGTGACTGCTTCTGTTCCTAGGAAACAGCCTTAGTCACCACATTCCAGGGTTCTCACTGCCGAGTCCTCTCTTGGAACCAAGCAGGGAAAGATTTCAAAGTCATGTGATCTAAGAAATGCATTCCAGCTCCTCAGTGGGACCTGCCTTCATCCTGGGGGTAGAAAATGGTCACCAAAGGGTGCACATTTAAAAAGCTATGTTTTCCTAAAAGGAAGACCCCAATTGTTGACTTTAAGGCACCCTCAGATACATTGATACCCTAGAACACTTGATAAACTCCAGATGGATGAGGAGGGTATTTTAGAAATCCCCCTGAAACCCCTCCCTGTCCCAAATTAGAACACAGCAATCATAAGACTTGACCCCTTTCATTTAGGGAAGGCAGGTCCTCTGCAAATCCTGTGCAGGATTTTGCAAACAGGGGTCAATTCAGACTCTGATTCCTCATTTTTTTTTTTTTTTTAAATGAGGCCTGGGCTAGGTAGGTAATAAAAATTAATATTGTGAGGCCCTTGACCTGCTCTAGGAAAATCCTGGAAGCAAGCTGGATTAAATGGCACCCTCTTTTCTGACTCATTTCCCAGTCTTGGAAGGGCAGCAGGGACCACAGCAGGTATGGCTCTGTCCCTTGGGCTCTTACCTTTATCCTTTCAATGGAAGCTTCTAGTCTCAGCTGCTGCACAGTTCTCCTTGCCTGGGCTATGTTGTTGGTGCTTGCTGTTTTGCTGGACATCTTCAATGATTGTTCTTCCCTGAAATCTGAAAAAAATTTTTTTTTTCAAATGGTGAATAACAGTCATCTTTAAGTTATTTAAACATTCATAGAAAATGTGTGTTACTTGAAGGAAAATGGATGCATCTGCCCATCAGCACAGCCTCTTTGAGGCAGTTACTAAAGTGCCCTGAGCAATCCCAGTGGTGGCTTAGATGTTCCAGCTTGTCATCCATTTGAGTGTCAACATAAATTTTTGGTTTGCAGAAACCTAGAACAGCAGTTTAATCAATGAAACCCAACATATAGCATAAGGGCGGCCTTTTCAAGAATTTTCTAGGAAGAAACAAATATTAATATTTGCAGTAGTAAAGGGGCCTTTGGCAACCAGAGGCCAAGTTACATGTCAATTTAATACAACTACTACATACTCTAACAGAAACTGAGTTTATTTCTTTTGGGCTCTCTTACCCAACTATTAGGCTGATGCAAGTTGTGGCAAGAGAAAACAGTGAGAAGGCCTCTCCAGAGACCTCTGCACAAAATCACATTTTCAGGTGCTATCAACATGTGCAAATGTTTCCAGAATGTTAGGCAGGTAAGCCGTCTTTATTCAAGAAAAAGTGGTAAACTTTTGGCTGAAAGACTCAATGATAGATCCACAGTAAATGTCAAATGAGACACAGCTGGAAGTCTGAAATAATCAATGAAGCTTTATCATTCCTTCTTTTGACCTCTCTCTGGCCTCATCCTGGTGGCCAAGGGTTTGCTAATCCTATTACCTTCCCCTTCCCTATATGTTTGGCCAGGATTGACTCTCCTCTTTTTGTCTAAGCCCTTGAGTACCAGGCTGCCCTGTTGTCCTCTCCCCAGACACCTGATGTCAAACAACGGAAACAGGCTGGCCTTTGAGCTTTGACCTGCCTGGTTTCTAGTGGCACATTTCATGAGGAAGGCAGGCCTGCGACAAGAGCTGCCTGGTGCCCTATATGGTTAAGTTTTCTCTTGGCATGATGGTGAATGGAGGAAAAGACAGAGCTGGCAGGCCTAGCAGCAGTGTGGTAGTTTATGACTCAGGAGCAGGTGGACAGTAGGTGTGTCTTGCCGGCACTAGGCAAGGGCTCAGCAGTCTTAGGACGCTGTGGCGCCAGCAGCAAACCCAGGCTGACTCAACCTTCAGCAGGACCTGCAGCTGCAGGAAGGCTTAGACCAGTCAGGCTGCAAAAAACACCATCAAGCCACAGGCTCCATGCTGTCCACCATGTGGGCATTATGGAACTCCAACACTGAGTTTCGCCAGATTATGATGTCCCCAAGGACTGAGTTCAAGGATCTCTGAGGTTGTACCCTCTGAGGTTGGAGGAAGCATTGGGTCAGGTGCACAAATAAAACTGCTTTTAATTGGGTGCAGAACTTTGAAATCAGCTTCATCAGCAGCTTCACATTTCTGGGACTGCACCCTGCCTCTGCCACTTCCCAGATGGGTGGAAGTGGGCAGACTGTTTCACCTTCATGAGCCCAAGATTTTTTGAGGTTGTTGTTTTGTTTTTGCATACTCAGGGCTGCTCTTCCACTGAGCTACATCTACAGCCCTTTTTTTCTGGGACAGGGTCATGCTTGTTGCCCAGGCTCTTGAACTTGTGATTCTCCTGCCTCATTACATGCAGGTGCCACCATGCTCAAGTTTTTTCAGTTGTAATATAAAAATACTATTAATCACCTCAAAATGATGTATATCTAAGGGTTAGCACAGGACCAAACCACTCTCATAAAATGCAACTGCTATTATTTTTATCCTGGGGCGGGGGTCATACAGACCATGAATTGGAATTCCTTTACCTGACTGTTTTGCCCACCTCTCCTCAATTCTGGTCATTGACTGTCAAGGGTTTTGACTGAGTGGGTCTAGGCAGGGCTTCAGGGATCAGCTCTTTTTTGATTCTGCCCCCAGGTACTTCTGCCACACTCTAGTATCAAGGTAAGACACAAAGGTTGGTGATAGCCAACAGAGGATTGCCACAGGGAAAAAGAAGCCCTAATAGTACAGGAAACTGGGAGGAGGAAGCATGTGGCAGGGCAGGGTGGCCTTGCCTTGTCCTGGCCTTGGGCAACCTCAGTTCAACACATTCCTGGACTAGCTGTCTCTTCCTCAGACTCCTCAGTACTGCTGCCCTGCCCAAGGAGAGGCCTCAGGTCTCCTCCTTGGGGGTGTTACCCCCACCCAGCCACCTGGCCTAGCCCCTTTCTATGCTCCCAGGCCAGCATCTGAAATGAATGTGAGGTTGTGGGCAACCTCACCCCAAACAGTGCCCAGTGCCCAGTGAGTTGGTTGCAAATTTCATTCCCCTGCAACACATTGATCTGGGCTGCCCCTCCAGTTGGTGGCTGTTCTTAGCCTCCAGAATGTGAACATGACACCTTTTCTGAGTGGCCTGTGGTTTCCAGGCTGCACCCTCAGGATTTTCTAAATGTGCTGCTTGCGTGAGAACAATGCCAAGCATTCTCCTCAACCTCCAGGGCACAAACTTTCCAAGGCCTGGGCAAGTTTTCCTGTAACTGCAAACAGGTCACACAGATGGGACCTTGACCAGTCATTGCTCCCACCCCATGTGACTATAAGCAAATAGTCCACAGTCAGGCTATATTTATAAAAAGCCTGTCTCTCAAAGTGGTGAGAAAGCTGGCACCTAGAATACTGGGGACTTTTCCCCTTCTTGACTGAATTATAATCAGGATTGAAAACAGCTAGCTAGTAAGAAGAACAAAATATAACAGAAAAAAGATAAAAACAGTTAGCAATCCCCAATTCATGCTTGCCAGCTCTGGCTTTATGCAGTGGTCTGGTTCTGACTTCACTGTGGGGCCTTCACACTCTCCCAGCTCCCTGCTGCCTTCCACTGGGGAATCTTGCAGATCCCAGGCTTTGCAAAGTCCATGCAAGACCTTTTATTTATTTATTTATCTATTCATTCATTCATTCATTCATTCATTCATTCATTTTAAAAGATCACTTGAGCCCAGGAGTTCCATGTCAGACATGACAAATACAGCCAGTAACTCCTGGGTTCTAGTGATCCTCCTGCCTCAGTCTCAGTTTCAGCCTCTGAGCAGGTGGGAACTAGTATGTGACACTTTTTTTGGCGGGGGGGAGGAAGGGGTATAAGGGATTGAACCCATGGGCAATAAACCACGGAGCCACATCCCCAGTCCTTTTTAATGTTAAGACAGAGTCTTAAGTTTCTTAGGGTTTCACTAAGTTGCTGAGTCTGTCTCAAACTTGCAATCTTCCTGCCTCAGCCTCCCAAATTGCTGGGATTGATTACAGGTGTGTGTCACCACGCCCAGCTGCAAAACATTTTTAAATGAGTGCTACTGGTACTTGGTATAGCAAGCTAAGAATAAATGGGTAGGATGGACACAGCTTCTGCCCTCACAGAGCCATTAGACAAGAGGATCCTTTCCTCTTGTGCTGGAAGAGCCCAATCCTGCCACTGCTCTGCTCCTCTCAGGCTCCCACTCAATCTTTTCCTGAAAGTTCCTTCCCCTGTGCTGGTAAATGAATATCTGATTAAAGTTTTGGAGATGGTAGATTTTTTTTATAGCATCACAAAGTTATTAAACACAAACAACTTTCTACTGAATATCATACAGCAATAGCTTCAAAAGTCAATTAAATGAGGGTATTTGTGTGCATCCCGAGAGAACACTGTAAACTGGGCCACTGGAAAATAATATAATCTCTGACTATCACTTTGTTCCTATAGCGAAATCAGATCAAAATTATATTGTTTCAAGTTGGGGAGCCTCTTCCAGGGACTCTTGAGTTTCTTGGCTGAGCTGCCTGGCCTCAAGGCAGGGCCCCTGTTGTTTCACTCCTAAGAGGCAAGGTGCTCTCAGTGCTTTGCTCTGCCTTAACAGCTGGGCTGCGGCAGAACAAGACCGAGGGCTGGGCGGACTACCTCCAACTGTCTTGGCACCATCAGAGGGCTTGCTCTGGTCTTTTTAATGGCAAGGATGTCTGCTGTTTGTGCTACTAGTGCTACCCAATTGGTTTCCGTACATCAAGAACAGCTTCCAAGGTAGATACCAATCTCTGTATGGAGCTGAGAGCCCACACAGGCTGCATCATTCCAGGACTAGCATTGGAATCCTGAATGGGGCATTACTAACCATCCTTGTTTTACAGATGAGGAAACTGAGGTTAGAAAAGCTGGCTGTGAGGAAACCCAGTTTGTATATCACAGTCCATCTTGTAATCCTTTTCTCTCCAGAAGCCACCCCTTCTGGAAAGGGATCAAATTCCAACTAAATCCAAGGAAAGAGAGCCAACTAAATCCAAGGAAAGAGAGCAATTCCAACAAAATCTGTTCACACTCAGGGCATCACTAAATGTTCCATAATGTGGCTCTTAGTCAGGAGTGGCTGACACTCATTGACTTGGAACAGTGGGCCTGCTGACCACCTTGTGTTTATGGGACACCCCTCTTGGACAGAAGGCACTTTGTTTGTCTACCTGGTGCCTGCAGAGCAGTCTTTCCCTCTCCTGTGCACCAGCTGGGCAAGGGCTGAAGTTAGCATCTGGGGTCCTAAGTGCTCCATCTTACCCAGAAGGGTCAAGGCCTGTGTGAACCTGTGCAGACCACCATCTGGTGAAACTCTGGCTATCTCTTTTGTAGCCTTATTTTCAGTTGCATGTAAGGGTAACAGATTTGAATAAACATATGTAGTATTTAGCTAGTCAAATCATTTGCATTGGTTTTAATGCTGTGGTTCATCTGAATTCTCCGGTTCCCAGAAATTCCCAGGAACAAGATGTCCCATTAGGGAAATATGGACATTTAAATCTTTGTGTGTGTGTGGGGGGGCTAAGCTGGGAGAGAAGGGTGGGGATGGAAAGTGTCACCAAGCACGCTTTGGGAGGAAGGCCCCAGGGAGCCCCAGGGCCATCATGGCCTGGCCAGTAACTGAACCACTGGAGTGAAGCCAACTTTCATGAGCAAACATACCCCTGTGGCTGTAATGAAAGAGCAGCTTAAAAAAAAAAAAA